CCTGCATTATATTAAGAAGTATGGATTCCAATTGACAATAGGGGCAACTGTGACCTTTGGCCCCCCTACATGTATGAGAGACCTTGCATACATGTAGGCCAGACCAAGGAACCGATGAAATTTTGGCAAACAACAACATACATGTACGTGTACTTGAAATGTGCTGGGACAACACTATTGTCAGAAGAAACTTTGCTGAGATGCAGAGCAAACAGGCATGTACATGTACATGTAGTCTGCCCAGTGCTTTCCTTTTGTACGATACAAACTTTACATATTTTCTTTTTCATTATTACAAAACATTATTGTTATTTCTGGCAGTGACACTAAGGATTCCTCAAAAGCACCCTAGACACTGTCCAAATACATGCACACTGTAATTCACAAGCCTGAAAAAACCTGTACAGAGAGGAAAGAAAGTTTTACAGGTGGGAGGAAACCCCAGAGGATCCACAGAATCAGGTAGGGACTAAAAACCCAAGCCACATGTGGACCAAGCCAGGAATCAAACGCTTCACCCTCTCGTACTACTGTTTCCGTGACTGTGTGCTTGTGTACAACAAGCACATGAATACAGTACACTGAACCTGTACATGTAGATGTACTAAGTACTGATACGATACATGTAGGTGTACCACCTCCATAAGCGTACAAAATGTACATGTGCGGTACTTTTAAAACTATTAGCATGAACAGCCTGTTCATTTTAAAATGAACAACAGGCCCTATGCCACGGTACATGTAGGAACCAAACACATGTACTACATGTACATGTACAAGTACTAAAAGTACCTCCGGTACATGTTCATGTACCAGCACATGTACTAATACATGTACATGTACCAGTACATGTACATAACTTATGCTACATGTAGGTACCAGTACATACATGTACATCTACATGTAGATGCACCAAAGCATCCTTTTTTGACAGCCGACCTTGAAACATTTCCTGATCACTAAAAGGGTTCCCTAAAGAAGAATCCCTGGCATGACTCTTGTACATGTATTCCATATTTGTACAGGTCTGTCCTTCAATGTTGTTGTAGCTGGAAGCTTTCAAACAGATCCAATGATGTCCTATGGATCCCAAGTGCATTAACAGACAGGGATGGGATAGTGGAATGGAATGCCAAAAATCAGCATGTGATGAGCTAGAGACTAAGCTGGCCAGGAAAGCAGTGCTTTCAGCACAGTTTGGTAAATTCATACAAGATAACTGTTCGTCCCTGTCAATTACATTACATGTAGCAATCATTGTTCATTATCATCATGCAAGGAAGCATATGTATGTACTGTTACATGTATAAAATAAGAGCTCTTTTGTTCTGAATTTGCACGAGTCCACAGGTGTACATGTACATTTGACCGTTACAATGCAACTTTTTTTGCACATCTGGTCAAGTTACATTGCAGAGAGTCATTCAGGAAATTATATTTCCCAATTACTTTTATTACCTTCCCGCTTCCTTTAGGAAGCTGATACTTGGATCTGTTCACCAGAAAAGTACATGTGTACATGTATAGTACATGTACAATATCCACCTCCACCAGGTGTACATGTAAGTTTGTGCATACATTGTACATGTACTTGCACACATGTATGAGATCCATTCCTGTACACCATAAGTTGCAAGTTTTCACATCCACAATTTAACCTTATCCCCTCCTGACATGTACATGTAGGTTTCATGCAGCATGTAAACAGAATGCGGTTTCAGTTCTTAGGAATTCTACAGATGCATTTCTTCTGTGTCTGTGAATTCTAAAAGTTCATGGCATTCTGCCGACTCTAACAGAAATGGCTCTACTCTACTGTTCGTACCATATTTATAATCCAGCAGAATTTGCTCACATTACTGACTGTGCATTTCACGTACAAATATGAGAACAATCGTTTCTTTGCTCCAACTTCATGTGTGAAATTGCATCCTGATTGGTGTCGGCCACTTATAGTCTACAAGTATCTGAAAAATAATATTTGCTGTGATGCTTCTTTGAACAATGCACTTACGGACTATTCCTTTGATATTATGTCCATTGATAAAAATCATATCTCTTGCTTATCAAGTTCAAAGTACATGTGTTGATGTATTTTTGCAAAATACCATATCATACGTGGTCCGTTCATCATACATGTACACATGTACTGGTACACATATCTTTTTGTACTTTTGTACATGTACCGGTACTGAAAAAATTGTAACATGTATTATAATTTACAAATTCATATTTTCCCGTATGACTGCATGGATGTTCTCAATAACCGAACAGGCGAAGGATTGACAAAGTTAATGTCCTGAAAACCGCAAACCTGGTTCTGCCATTACAAGTCTTAATTACACAAAAAGAGGCCAACACATGCAAAGTGTGGAGATGGCACACGCAGTTAAAGCATGGAGCTATCAGCTCCATGGTTAAACAAATTGAAGGGTGACTCATCAAGTGCCACTACAATAGACGTACACACATACAGTGTTAGTGCTACATGTCACATGTATGCAATCAGTTTTATACTGTCTGTCATCTACCTTACTTTTTTTGCACTGCACTAAGGATTATCAAACATATTCACATGTACAGTTTCATCATTTATTTCAGCCCCGGGGAAGATGGAATCCTTTAACACTACATTTGTACCTACAATATGATGAGTACCAACAGGATTAATTTATCCAATTAAGCATTTTAAACGGCAGATTCACTTTGTAGTCAGGTTACAGTCAGTAGTGCTACCATTAAATGGAAACTACCCGCACACCTAGATACAGTAACAGCCGATTCCATTCAACCGAATACATGTAAGCCAAACTGAAGCAATACAAACTTTATAACAATGAGGCTTATGCAGTTTATTTCAACCTACATGTTCCTGTAGGCTTACATGTAAAAGTCTGTATCTTTATACCTTTTAAATCTGAAAACATGTTGCAAACTTCCGTCAGGAAGTATCCACTTGGTGGATACAATTATATGTACAATGTACCGGTATTCACATACATACATGTACTTGTATACATGTCCCATGATGAAAAAAAAAATTAAAATTGGTTCAACAACGTCTAACTACTGTTTCAAATAAAATTAAGGTTCATATCAAATGAAAAAGGGGAATTTATTTATGGGGGATAAACTGGCTCAAAATCCCTTGCCTTTACAAATTCCTCCCCCCCACCATTGGAAAACTCTGGTATCACAAGCACCATATATTTACCCAGGCTTCAAACCATTTTATCAGATAATGGTGAGGTCTCCCTAAAGCCCGGCCCACTTTGCATTGATATGTACGCTCCTGGAGGCTGTAAGGTGTGACTGATTTTCCCACGGCTGGTTCTATTCTGCCTGTCCAGCGGGCATGATCAGGTAATTCTGCCTTAATTCAGTTATTAGTGCTTTTACAAACCTTTCTGCCTCTTTTTTATTGCAGCACCAGTAACTAAACAGATGCTACGACTGACTGTGCTGCCATTTGACACACATTTTTAACTAGCAGTAGCAGATTTTTTTAGAGGAAACATTAAAGAATGTGCCTCTGGTTCAGAGGATGGGCTCAAAAAAGAAGAATTCTAGAAGATCGGGTCAGCCACTGGTAAATTGAGTTCTGATCATGTACAGAAAACATACAACCTCCAATCATGAAACATACAGTACATGTACAACACCTCTTGCCCAACATAAACACGGGTTAGTTCATGTCAACATAAAAAATTAATGCTGCAAAAGGCATTTTTATTTCTATTTCTTTTATTTTAATTGTGAGTATTTCTTTCAAATCAACAGTGGCATTTAAAACCAAGACACTTCAAACCTATCCTACAGCGCTGTTTTAAAATTTTGAAACACTCCAAAGCCATAGGAATTATGATTATATTGTGATGAATATTTAGCAGGGCCTAGTCAATAGTTGCTCTAATAATAAAATAGTACATGTAGGCTACCAAGTCAAAAGGGGAAACCCCTAAAACAAAAAAAGATGGGCCTAATTAGTGTCAATGAAAACAAATCGCCCTCAACTCGAGACTGTAAAGGTTAACTTCATAGCGGTAGTTAATACTAGTAACAGCATTGCTGGAAGCCAAAAGTGAAGCCCAAGCGTGTTTGAAATAACTTTATTGTAATTCACATTTGTGACGCATTAAGAACTTGATAGAAAGGTTCACATGAATTAAATGACACAACAGCAAAAACAACTAAAACACCACACGCAGTTCTAAACCTATGACAAAAACATCAAACCAACGGGAGAGAAATCAAGAAAGAGGGTAAAGCAGGTTGGGACCTAGGACTCAGGCGAAAAAAAACAGGGAAGCAACCCTGAAGAGGCCTGGCAAGGTACAGGTATACTTGTGAAAATAAACACAGTTTAAGAGCATCAATTCTAATTTGTATCCAAATTCAAATTGAGTTCGCATCAACATTAATTTTGAGCTACAATTACAGATTGCACACTAGTCTGTCCCACAAGGACTGTTTAAGCATGAGGAAAGTTACAAACTAAATTTAAAAAATTGCACCAGAGAAATATTTTGAAAAGGGAAAAGGGGAAACAACAAATCATGGAAATATATCGCTACACCAAGCTGTAAAAAAATTAGAATAAAATCCAAGCGAGGTTTCTCAGTTACATGCACGTCCATGTTATTGTGATTGTTAAGCTCAACATCAGCAATAGGCCTAATTCAAGAACTACAATTTAAGAATTGCACAAAAGTATACTTGTATTCCCCAAAGACTGTTAAAACACTGCGGCCAATTAAAAAAAATACACAGGATGATCACACAAGCATGATAACACCAGTCACGCTAAATTTGCACATGGGCTGCGTGAAATTAATGTTCTCGACGACATGCCCATGTACAATGTACTGCATGCAAAAACGGTTAGGTCAACTGACCAAACCGAGTCGGACAATTCTTCTTCATGTTCCAGATCTTCTCTAACACGCAATTCCTGGCTTTTTTCCCCAATCCTTGTCCTTTCAACAAGTACAAAAACTTACCAATGGGTGATGATGCCTATTAGACTGTACAAATCCAAATTAAACTCCTGGTTGTTTGCTCCAAACAGATGGAAATTCCGTCGAAAAATGTTGAGATTTCGTTGCAGACGACCACTCAATCAAGCCGAGGCTAGATGGCGTGTGTGCAGTGCTATTTTTAACCCTCCCCAAGCCGCCAGTCCAACTGCAGTGCGCATGAGCGTCTACGTCTAATGCCGAGCCTCTGTTTATTATGCAAATATGTTTTGTGTACCAAGCTTCAAGCCCAATGCCCGCGCCGTGCATTGAAAATTTAAATACCAGCGTACTGTAAACAGCAGACACCCTGCCACAACGGTTAATCAGTTAACTTCTGAGGTTGAGCATGACAGTCAGCGACGGGTGGGGGGGGGAGTGAGCAGAGCTATTGGCAGCGATTCAAGGAAACATTATTTTTGGACAGACCCTGCACCATCTAGTCACACGTAGCCTATTATTCAGAATTTTTGGATGTGATACCCAGGAATAATTACGGGAAAGAGCCGGAAAAACGTCATTTTTTTTCCAATTGCTTTTGGTGTCATTTGAAGAAAATTTGGAAAATGTACAAAAGTGGTTGTAGTATTCCGTGCAATTGTTTTTATTCCACAGAATTAGTACAAAACCATAAAGTAATGAATGGAATCTCAGACGTTGCTCGGTTTTTTGTGGTTCATTAGATTTTCCCTGAGCCACCAAAATTTAGCAAGAGTAGTCATACTGCACAGACAAAAAATTCTGGCGAGTTCGAAACATCCTTTTAATTGATGATCAAAGACTTAGTGAGATCCTGTTTACAAAGAAGCCATCACCAACACTCATGATTTCCCGATAGAAGTGCGTGCAAAGTGAGCGCTTCAGAAAATTGGCAAAAAATAAGAAAAATGAAAATATATTCGAGGTTTAATGGGATTTATTTGTTCTTTTAGAATTCCGTCAGATTTGAGTCTCCCAAACCGTTTGCCTTCCAGACACTTCTCGAAACACTGATATTTCTCACAAATTTTTAGTTGGCAACCTAAAATGACTTCCACTTGAGGAAAGCCATTGGAATTATCAAAAGTGATGGGTTAAGTTGCATTCTTGACCCCGTTTTCATGATTTAAATATATCTTTTGAGATCAGGACACCCCCACCCCAACCCACCACAACCCCGGCCACTAATATGAGGAAGTGAATTTAAAATATTACTGTTTTGCCTACTGAGTAAACAGTGACGAAATTATGACAAGTAATACTTGTCAAGGATTAGGTGGTTGTGAAATAATTGCTTTCTTTTAGGAATTTCCCGTGATAAAATGATTATTTTTCGAACGTCCTTCAAGATATTTCCATTCCCCGGCCTCTTCAGTCGTGACTCGTGACAATTTGTCAGCACTTTCATTTTTGCATCCTTGGCAGTTATTTTTCAATAACTGAAAATGAGACTGAGGAAGACAGTTGGCGAAAAGACAGAATTCTTCATTTGGCGAGGTGCTCAGTTTGCAGCATGAATAAGGCTCCAAATATTTGGAAAGAAACTGTCTTTAACAGCGCCCCCCTAGAAGAACATTCCTTGGCTTCGTGTTAGTCACGATTATTTCACACATAATGGACAGTGGACATAAATAATAATAGGCTCAAAAAAGCACTTTACGTTGAAACAAGGCCGACTGATCAAAAAATGGGGAAAGGTTTCACTTGCATTTTACTGCGTTTTTTTTTTTCATACCACAGATTTTTTCCATTATTACTCAACATTTGAACTTCCAAATAAACAGGAAATGATTACTGAGCATTGATAACAAGTGCAACTTAAACGTAAGGCGGACAAACTTATTCAGGCTCTCATATCAGGAATTTGCGTATCCTGTGTTGCATAAAAACTAATGAGATGCACGCTCCATAATTCCTTTTTTGTGTTCATTTTCTTTCATTTTATGCGCAGTTAATAACATCCGAGCCTAGGTTATAGCGCCCTCTCTCGGTCCAGCACGTAGTATAATAATGGTCGAGTTCGGGCTGCCTGTTCTTGACACGTGTTTCTTGTTTTTGCGCTCGAACGGCGGGAACACGACCCAAGAACATTGTTCCCGGAACAGGATCACACACGACCTCCTCGTCAGGGTTTACAGGAACACACGGAAAAACTTGTGAGATTTTGATTTTTGAACAGCTGCAAAAAGTAGAGATGGCTTCCAAAGCCAGAGGCTATATGAAGTTTTGAAAAATTAACAATAATTATTTTCTACAACACAGAAATGAATGTTGCTCCTTAAATAGAAAAGAATTCATCAGCCCACCCAAACATTAACTCTCGAATAACGAATATGGACGTCGCCATGTTGCATGTTGCTTGCCACTGACTACTAGCAATTATAACAAGTTGTTTGTTCCCAGCGTTCGAGCGGCCGACCCACGAACAACAAATCTAGCTGTTCGTGAACATACGAGAGCAAAAGCCAACCGCGTATTTTTATTTACACCGTAGCCTAGGGTTTTTCTGTGGTGGTGCCAATTCGCGCGTGAAAAGAGACTAATGCCGAGTACGTACATCAGCGCATGGGATTGAACGTGGGGCGGAAACATGACATAATATTTAAGCGTTCAATGCATGTCACTGAAAACTGGAAGGCGTCTCGTTATTGCACACCTTTAGATGCTTCTAAATGTTACGTGAGAGCGCCACTAGGAATCAGGGTAGGCCTACGCAGGTGCAAAACCTGAACAAAGCAAACGTTACTTCACGACCGAAATAATGAGTCAAATTTGTACCGAATCTTTCGACGGTTTCCTTTCTTCTATGCTTCAAATGCATACAGGCAGTGACGCACCAAGGATTGGAATTTTTTTATGTCATTCTTTGCTGTGCTATACAGTGCACAGCTAGCAGTAATAATTTTGGATATTGGGAGTCTTTTACTGTAGGTATATGAAGCATTATTGACACACTTTGCTGTAAAGCCATAACCTGTCTGCTTGTTCGACTCTGTAAGGTGAACAAGCCTAGAGGAAATGACGGAGACGAGGTTGCAATCAAGGCTTCAAGACCAACCTGAACATGTTTTAAGTAAAATATTTGGAAATTTTGATTTTTTTTATAATGGAAAAAATACAAAATAAATGAAATAAGAGAGACGAAAAGGGTGAAAATCTCAATCTGCTTGAAAACAACCTTCATTCATTACCCACCTAAATCGTTCATAATGTTTGTCACATCGCATTTGTATTTTATTCCCCCCCCGAAAAAAAGTAATAATGCTAAAAAACTTTGCGAGAGCATGGATATCCTAGCTCATCAAGCCAGCGATCACGGTGGTGATTAAAATTCTACTTTTTCACTCACACCAAAGAAATAACTTGACCATTAGAGGAAATGGAATCACCCCAATACTGTCACAATCCATCGATCCATCACCTCTGAACTATCAACTTTCGGAACTAAATAAAAACATTCATTTGTTGCACTATCGTTTCGTGTTTTCGCACGCTCGCTTTGACTGGTTCAGTCAGCATTAGTCTCTTTTCAAGCACGAATTAGCACTAACACTATCATTAGCACTCTGTACCAGAGCGAAAAACCCTTAGGCTACGGTGTAAGTAAAAAATACGCGAGCCGCCCGAACTCAGCCTACGAGTATAAACAAGCCGCGTTTGACTTAAAGAAACCTTGTTTTCCTCAACGTGGAAGTGAAGGCTCTCTCAGGCCTCAAATCTAATAAGACAAATTGTCCATTCTGCTCAGTATAGGAACAAGAGATAAGACATGCAGTTTCACGACGTCAAAGTCCACTTATTTTGCTGGAGAAAATACTACATGTACGTGATCAGTGATTCATTTGCAACAGATTTATGTTTAGATCTTAAATAAAGAACAAAAATATTGAGCTGTTTTTGTATGAGTTCATATCTGTGATCTGTTTAGACATGTACTACATAGTCTTCACGTGTTCATTATACACCCAATTGATTTTTTTCCGCCTGCCTGTTTCTTCTTTATCGTGCCGCTGCTGAAGGGATGCTTTTAATCAGAATGGATAATTGCAAGTGTTAGACCTCAGTCTGGAATGTATGTTGTTCTATAGCCGCCAAAATTGCGCCGTGCCGTAGCCCTGACGCCACAATGCGACACCACGACACGAGGCCACGGATTGGAGCACTTCAGTTTTATTTACGTCCATCCACTGCACATGCACTGCATGCATGCAAAAGTATACGCGCAATACGCGCAACTTCAACTATCGTCCAATGGGAGTCTGCAAATCGTGGTGCATCCGCGTGTATGACAAAGTTATTCTTGGTCTCCCTGACAGCTTCTCTTAAATGAACCCGAATCAATATGGGCAAGTCCCCGGACCACGTCTATCCGGTTCGTGAGTAACTTGGTCACATACACTCGGATGCGCCACGATTTGCAGACTCCCATTGGACGATAGTTGAAGTTGCGCGACCAGGAATAAAAGAGGGCGTGTTTTGAAATGAAATCCACAGTCCTTTAGTACTCATGCATCGCGCATAGGTTCGCAACTTTATGCGCGTTGACGCAGAGCACGCTGAGTAGGCGCAACGATTTTAGTCTAGAATGTGTGGTCTTTGCGCGCAAGCCGAACGCGTTAGAACCCGGTTGGAAAACTCAGTGCCACCTGCCTTTCTTTCGCCGGTGAAGGTGCACTTCGGCTCAGGGCGGATAACGTTTCAATCACTCAGTATTTACACATTAACATTCTGTGCAGTAAGGTAAATGACTTTCTTATCTCCTTGTTAAATTAACATGAACAGCAAAAAAACACTATCTCTGAGATGGCCGAGTGGTTAAGCTCGTGGTTATCAG